GCACGCAAACAAAACACATTATGACACAATAGAGCATAGTGTGAAGCTTCACTCACTCGGAAAATATTGTTTTTTTTTTTACGGAATTTGCTGAATACACACAGAGTATTGCGGCGGTCGAGGTAACACTATCGGCGCGCCAGAGGACCCGCTGTTGGCTGAAGTTTGGGCGGCGATAAATTCACTTGCATTTTTTTCTTTTCTTTCTTTCTTTCTTTCTTTCTCTTATCTTATCTTTCATATTTTGTGTCTCTCTGGTTGATTTGAAAATTTGTGTTTCGGTGTTGACTTATTTTTTCTTTAAGAAAGTTTGTGTCCCTTGTTTCATGCACTACACACACTCATGAACTCATGTACGTACGTACATACGCACACATGCTCTTACTCACTCACGCATATTTATGGTATTCGTATTATATAACTACTTATCTCTTTCTATTTGACTTATCTTGTCTGTCTGTCTGTATCTTATATCTATCTATCTATCTATCTATCTGGCTTGTTATCTCTGTCTCTCTCTCTCTCTCTATCCCTATCTATCAATCTGTCTATCTATCTATCTATCTACTTGTTATCTCTCTCTCTCTCTCTCTCTCTTTACATATATATATTAAATATATATATATTTTATATATATATATATATATATATATAATTATATATATATATATATGATATATATATGATATATTATATATAATATATATAATAGTTATATATATAATATTATATATTATATATATATATATATATGACAATCTACCTGTCTATGTGTGTCAATCTGTGTATGTCTGTCTTCTATTTATCTACCATCTCTCTAACAATCTATTCTGGTCTATCTAAACTGTCTGTCTACCTATCTATCCATCTACACGTGTAAACTGTGTGTTGGTTGACGTCTCCCACGTTGTTGTTGTTCTTGTTGTTGTTGTATTGTCATTGCTTATTTAATATCATAATATAGATATATGGATAGATAGAAAGTTAGGTCGAAGATAGATAGATACGTAGATAGATGGATTAGATAGATTATGGATGGATAGATAGATGAATAAGAGAAATAGATGGGAGTGGACAGACAATCAGATAGATAGATGGATAGACGGATAGATAGATTAGACAGATAGATAGGTAAATAGATGAATAGATACTAACACAATTATGTATTGATATTGATCTCCAAGCGAAAAGTGAAATGCAGAACAAACAACGGAAAAATCAGTTTATATATATATATATATATATATATATATATATATATATTATATATATATATATATATATATATACAATTATATATATATATATATGTTATATATATAGTATATAATATATATATATATTATAATAATATATATATATAGTATATAGTATAGTATATATTATATAATATATAGATATATATATATATTATTATATATATAGTATATATATATATATATATATATAATATATAAATATATATATATACATATATATATATATATTATATATATATATATTATATATAGATATATATATATATATATATATATATATATATATATATATATATATATATATATATATATATATATATATTATATATATAATATAATATATATATATATATATATATATATATATATATATATATATATATATATATTATATATATATATATAATATATATACATTAATATATATACATATATATATATTAATAGTATATATATATATAATATATATATTATATATATATATATATATATATATATATATATATATATATATATATATATATATATATATATTATTATACAATGTTTATATATATGCTTGATATTCACATATGCCAAATACAACTTCCGCTTCTGCACACAGCGCCGCAATTTGCATTACAAATACAGCAAACTCTACACTGAATGAAGATAGAGTCGAAAATGCAGTCCGTCTCTCCTAGCGCCATTAACACAATTTACATTATAAAGAGTTTCCGCATTGAGACTTTTCTGGTGTTTTTTTCACGTTGTCGTACTGGAACTAGTGTGTGTGTCCGGTTTGCGAAAGGGGGCGAAATTTTGATGTTTTTTTTTTGTTTTTGTTTTTTTTGCGGGGATTCTGTGTTTTCTTTGGTTATTGATGTTCTTATTACTATTATCATTATTGTTGTTGTCATTTTTTTATTTATTTATTATCATTATTGTTATTATTATCATGTATTGATTATTATATTCTTATTATCATCTCATTATTTATTAACATTATTATTTGTATCTTGTTAATTATTGTGTATTATTATTGTTATCACTATTACTATTGCTGATATTACTGATATCATATATTTTTTTTGTTTGTTTGTTTCTTTATCTCTTTATTTCTATATACTTGTTTTATCTTTATTATAGTTATTAATGAATGTAGCGTAACCATTATGCTTTTCCTATTATGATCCTTTATTTTTCAATATTTGTGCATTAACATCAGTATCATTCTCATTATCATTCACATTTTTTCTTCTTCTTCCTCTTATTGTCCCTATCATCCTTAATTCCAAGATCATATTTTTATTCATTATTATTACTTATATTTCATTACCATTAACCATAAATACCATAATGTTAGCAGTTTTTCAAATTACTAAAGACCCTTATTCAAACAAGGAATAATAGAAATATAGGCCTGATATTATTTTCTTAAAAGGGCCTACGTTAGCAGAAGTTAATTACTGTTGCTAGTAGAATTATTCTTTATCCTATGAATAATAATATATGTAAATAATGATAATAATTGTGATAATGATTGATAAAATAATAATACTATATGATAACGATAATATAATAATAATTAATAATAATAATAATAATAATAATATAATAATAATAAATAATATAATTAGTCTGATAATAATGAATAATGATAATAATAATAATAAAAATGATAATAGTAATGAGTAATAATAATGATGACAATAATGATTATTAATATAATGATAATTAATAATAATGATGATAATAATAATGATAAGAAAATTAAAAAGAAATAAGAATTATTCAACAAATCATGAAATTGAGTGTTAGTGAAGAAAATAATTCCATTCTTTATATTAACAAAGAAGATGATCAAGAACAAGATACCTAAAAAAAAAGAAAAGAAAAAGAAAAAAACTGAAATAAAAGAAAAGAAGAGACAGAATGAAAGAAAAGAGAAAAGAAAACAGACTGAAATGAAATAAAAAAGAAGAAACAGAAGAAAGAAACGAAAAGAAAAACAGACAAAAAAAAAAAGAAAAACATCCGTTATTCATTATCCCTTTCGTTATAAGTAACTCCAGCTCTCTCAGTTCCCTCCGAGGTCACGGTTTAACCCTTTATGCGCGATCTTGCGTACTTGAGGAGCGAAGGGCAACAGCGTTCTGTCATTGCTAAATTCTTTGCATCTTTGCTGGATAGAATTTTCATTCGATATATTATGGCCGGCGAAAATATTTCTGGCTGTGTGTTGATGAGTAGTGTGGTGTTTGTGCGGTGAGTGTTGTTGTGAGAAGAGAAAAGAGATCTGTGGTGAGAAGGAGAGATGAGGAGAGGGTGGAGAGATAAGGGGGGAAATGGATAGACGACCGAGCAGAGAGGTGTGCGTGTGTGTGTAGTGAGGAGAGGACGGAGAGTGAGGAGAGGTGTTGTCGANCAATGTATATATAGTATGTATATACATTATATATATATAGATATATATATATATATATATAATATATATATGTAATACATATAATATATATATATATATATATATGTATATATATATATATATATATATATATATATATATATATATATATATATATATATATATATATATATATATATATATATATATATATATGTATATATATATATATATGTATATGTATATATATATATATATATATATATATTATATATATATATATATATATATGTATATATATGTTATATATATAATATATATATATATATATATATATATATATATATATTATATATATATATATATATATATTATATATATATATATATATATATATATATATATATATATATATATATATGTATATATATATATATATGTATATATATATATATTATATATATATATATATATATATATATATATATATATATATATATATATATAATATATATATATAGCTTACCACCTGACAGAAAACAGTAAACAAGAAACACATTTGAAGTGGAAAAGATCACTGTATAACCCAAACCAAGAGCATAGCAGAGAATATATATATTTCTAATTACAATGAATTTCAGAAAAAAAAAAAAAAATCTTTCAAAACTGGAAAATCCTCCACCACTCAGAAGGGAGAGGAGAAAATGGGCAGAACTCCTACCTAATGCTGACAACTTCTAGCCAATGAAGTAAACCACATTGGATAGCAACATCAACAAAGCGAAAAACGACATTTTCCATGGCTTACTTTCATGTAATACAATCAGAGGCTAGATCTTTTTTCTTTTAGGAGGGGATTAATCAATTAATTTTCCAATATTTCAAGGTATCTCAAATTCAAAGACACAAGTACAACATAAAATGAGGACTACCTGTAACAAAAAGTTCAGTACAAAAATGCTGATGAATTTTCCAAAGCAACTTGAAATTATGACATTAGTCTCAACTTACATTCTAATATTCTAATCACTATCTGTAGCACAAAAACATGATACTTCTTTTATCAGAGAAAACATATATTTTACTAATGGCCAATTTACCAATACGCCCAAAGATTGCATCTCCCATGTTTTATAATTTTCTAATAATCCTTACGTTACTAATCATGACTCATCAGCACACAGTACAGCTGAAGACTTACACAGTTTGATAAAATAGATTACAGAAAACACCTACTTGAAATAAAAGAACAAGACCAAGCAATAATAACAGATACACAAAGTGAAACACCATAGATAATTCTACTTCCTGGAGGAGTCTACTCTTATTATACGCTGCCAACATGCAATCAAACTTAAGGGTGCTACCAGGTATTCTGGCACAGGTACACTGTTAAACGGATAAGATAAACGGAAATAAAAACCACGTCATCTACCTCAAGACAAGGAAGAGTTCAGTTGGGAGGTTTTTGAATGAATTCCTCATCTTCTCTCCAGTATCTTCCATTCTTTTCCTCATAATTTCCCTCTCCTGTTTGGACAGTTTCTTCCAGTCCTCTCGAGTGAATGATTTTGGTCCTCGTCGGCCAAAAAACTCATTTTCGAACTTGTCTGACCCCGAGGGTGCTACATACCGCTGAGCAACCATCATACAGAAGAAGCGGTAGCCATCTGTTGTACAGTAGACCTTTACCTTAATGTTCCCCAAGGCTTGTCATATTGATTGCTTATTACAAATACCTTTTCATCTTATGATCTCCTTTCTGTAATCCTTGACAGAATTTTCCAAACTGGAGGTATAAGGTGAAGAGAAATCTGTTTATATCATGGTTTTCTCGAGTACAAATGGTGATAGGATACCCTAAAGAAATCTAACCTTCAGAGGGAAATAGTGGTCTTATCTGACCAATCATGAACCATGGTATCATAATGATATATCATATTTAACGTAAGAATAAGAAGTATATCATTACTAAGATACAACAAAATTAATTGTACTCAATATATCCATCAAAGAATGGGTTAATGGGTTTATAGGAATCTCCAATCCATTACAACAACACAACTTTCACTAACTTGAGAGGGAAAAGTACAAGCACCTTCACATGCATGTTATAGGATCTTACATTTAAGGACGATTGTCTTTAAACCTAAGAACTTGCCTTTAGGATATCAAGAAAAATACCAATGTCAACTTCAGCACAGCATTTTGGGTAGTCTTTGCCCTTTAATCAAGAAAAAAATCTCCCTTACTTATATTAATTTGATTTTACAATGAGACTAATGAGGGCTTTCTACAGTCTTAACCCAAAAGCAGTGTCTAACACAAAAAGAAGGGAACAAGATACATATATTTCTTATAATGCTGAGATTGAATGATAAAAAAATTGGCCAGATGCAAACACTTTAACTTGATAAACAAATCTAACAAGTACTAGAGGCCGCAGAGTCCCCAAAGAAACTGCTCATTTATGCATCTGACACTATGTCAAGAAATTTTTAAGTGTCCAAATGTTCTGGGTTTAATATCTATATCACTGCCTATAAGTGCATTTAGGAGGGGACATGTTGATATATATATTTCTTTTCTGTAACATCATCTAATCAGTGGATGGCAGAAGGTGAGACTGAGTCAAACTACAATATGGGGATAACAGGATTGCTAACAGAAAAAATTTTGTTGCCAAACATGATACAGAGTAACAACAGGTTAAAGTAGCCGAATGCTAGGCTTTACTCTATCTTAAACTTGTAAGGAATGAATATCTAACGACAAATAAAAGAGTTCTCCCTTTACATTCTAAAAGCGAAATAGTGAGAGGCAACAGCATAATCTCATCTCCCACTGGGATGACATAAACACCTATCACACCTCTTGTATCTTAATACTTAAAAGCCAGCAGACACTGAACATAGCTTCCTCTCATCCTTCAAAGTCCCAAAAATAAGACTAAAAATAAGAATAGAGAGAGAGGAAGGAGAATAAGAAAATAGTGCAGGAGGAGGAGGAGGAGGAGGAAGGAGGAGGAGGAGGAGGAGGAGGAGGAGGAGGAGGAGGAGGAGGAGGAGGAGGAGGAGGGGAGGAGGAGGAGGAGGAGGAGGAGGAGGAGGGAGGAGGAGGAGGAGGAGGAGAGAGAGGAGGAGGAGGAGGAGGAGGAGGAGGAGGAGGAGGGAGGAGGAGGAGGAGAGGAGGAGAGGAGGAAGAAGGAGGAGAAGGGAGGAGGAGGAGGAGGAAGAGGAAGAGAGGAGGAGAGGAAAAGAAGAAGAAGGCAAAGGTGGAGGGAGCAGAAGAGAAAAGGGGCAGAGAGGAAGACTAAAAAACGAAAATAATTAGAGTAAAATTATAAAAAAACAAAGAGAAGACAGTACAATTTCGGAGTAAAAATACGAAAACTATTAAATAACAGTAACAATAGGAAACTAAGAAACTGGGTCATTCAGAATACACATAAGAAAAATAATTGTAAATATACATATATACCCAACCTAAAACCAATCGTACTTACAAGCTTTTTTCAATACTCTGGGAGATTTCTTTAAGCAAACAAGAAACACATAGTTGCATAGGGCATGGGGCTGGGATACAAACAAGAGCTACACGACGACAAAACAGGTTAAGTTTTACAAGATGAAACCAGACTAACCTTGAAAGCTCTTTCCTATATCCATGGAGGATTAGATTATATTAATATGATTTTCTTAATTAATCAAACCTATATACCAAAGCAAATTTTTGAACATGCACAAGTATTACAACCAGACAGACACACATACACAAACACATATACAGACAGACACACACACACACACACACACACACACACACACACACACACACACACACACACACACACACACACACACACACACACACACACACCACACACACACACACACACACACACGCACACACACAGAGGAAAGAAGAGAAAAGCAACCTCTGGATTCCACACTTTCTGTATCATGCAACTGTATCCTTCTCCAATATATATTTTCATACATACTTTAATTATCTGTATGTTGCAACATGCAGTACAAATTCCCAACAGGTTATATTTTTTCTTCTTTCCCCCCAAAAATTTAGTCCTATAAAAGTAAAACAGAGTATTCCCTTAAACCTAAAACAGAAAATGTTTGTGAAACACCACCTTTTTTTGCTAGATCAAAAATTATAGAAGGATCATTTTCAACTTCAATCTAACCCCTTGAATTTAACCTCTGTCACTAAGCTGGATTTTTCTTTTGCGCAAATTTGTCAATACAAATAGAACAATGAAGGGAAGAACAAGAAAACACATGATTATACGGAATGTCTTCTCGCTACATTACTTATTCAGGGCATACAGGATAAGTGATATAGAGAGTATACCCTGAAGAAGCAATATAGAGAAAAGACTTTTGACATATCAATGTGTTTTCTTGTTCTCCCCCTTACTGTCCTATTTGCAATCCATTCCAGATGAATCCTACAAATTTGTCAGTGCACTCGACACCAGGATGGACACGGGCAACATCCTGCAGTACCAGCTTAGTGCGGATTTTGGTCCAAGTAAATCATTAAAAATCCTTTCTGAATTCTGCTTTTTTATTCCTTTTTATGAACAAGACCCTCTGGATTCTCCGCAAATCCTAACATCCTTTTTGAGGATCTTACAGTCAAGGGGTTAAATGGAATTTTGTGTCTAACATGAGATACACAATTCCAACACAAAAAACACCAGTTATCTATAAACTACTGAATTATAAAGCTAAGTTTACCATACACAAATAATGTCTCTCCAGTCAAATAAAACTAAATTACAAAAAACTAAAGTACTGCAGCTGTGCTAAAACAAATCATGGTGAGATGCATCCTTTTGGGTATTATCCTTAAAGTAATATAAGTATTTACTTAATACATATATAATTCGCCTCTCTAATCAGAAAAAAAAAGAAAAAAAAAAGAAAGAAAGGGGGAGAAAAAATAATAATATTGCTAATTTATTTGTTCATCTTATAAATTTGAGTATAATGCTAATGGAAAGCAGCTTTACGGTATTGCTTCATAATTTGTGGTGAATCAAAGGCATGAATGTTTCTGAACTCTCAATAAAACTTTTGGATTTCTAGAAGAGGTAAAGATCACACACATAAACACAATCAGTTATATTCAAGAAGTTTCGAGAAATCAATCATAAAATTGTCTTAAGGAGACCATACCTTAAAATTTCTGAATTTCTTTTTTTTTTAAATCAATTTGTGGGCTTTACCCTTTTATTCTTATTTGATGGGGAAGCTCCAGCTAAAGTCATTTGAAAAATAAGTCTTTCTCTATTAGAAAAAACATCTTTCCCTTGCGTTTCCAAAACTGTGTTCATCTCAAAATGTCCTAACATTGCATTTTTGGCCATTTTCAAGGAAATGGTATCCTTAGGAATAAACTTCATGAGTCATTTGCTAGTCTCTCAAGCTATCTAATTTATAAGAATAAAACAAAGTATTATAAAAATTTTATGAATACAAAATATAAACAAAGAAAAAAAGGACCCGCTAAATATCTCACAATCTTTTTTTTCATTTCTTTTCTTATCTCATAATGACTAATGTGGTTGTGTATCCTCTCCCTGCCTTATAACTGTTATTTCAAGGCATGAATGTGTTTGATTACACACATGTTAAATATATACAATGGCCTTTATCTTAAGGTATCATATCTGATGTGGTTATATCACTCACTCACTCTCTTTTACCACAATGACAATTCCTCACACATACATCCACACACACTTTTACACAAATACAAACACGCATACACACAAAGGGGACTTTATACACACAAAGAGACTGACACATAAATATACACACAAACTCTTAAAATCACAAACATATGCAGACTTATTCATTCACTCACTCACTCTTTTCTCTTTGCAATATTGAAATAAAATCATTATTTGCCTTTGGAAAATTATATAGTCTAACAGGCATATATGATTTCATATATTTATTTGATTGAAAAAGGGGCTATCATTCTTGATCTATTCATTTTAACTTTGATAAGTGAAAACATGATAAAAAGACAAAACCACAAAGACCTTCTTGTTTGTAATAAATGAAATAATAAATCTGGTGCAAGAAATTTCAAAGCATGATATTCAATCAAGCCAATTGTATTTAACTGCAGCTGTGAATATGGTGGGTGTGGGAAAGAAATGCAAGAAAGCTTACCTCGTACGCCAAGTTCTGCTGAATTCTTCTGCATGTTTTTATGGTCACCAACCACAATAGCTTTCCACAATCGACATAATGGCTGTCTCACGCTGGTTGGGAGGAACTGATACAGACCGTGATCAAGGATCACAATCTCGGCGTCACCACGCTTGCTTGGCCGAATTAGAACTGGAATATCAGCATTTGCATGAGGAAAGAGAGAAAAAATACAGACAGACACATTCAGTGTACGCACATGCGCACACACACGCACACACACACACACACACACACACACACACACACACACACACACACACACACACACACACACACACACACACACACACACACACACACACACACACACACACACACACACACACACGTATATAATACTGGTCATGCCAATATATGTGTGTACAGGAAAAAATGGAACCAATCATAAGTACTAACAATATATAATATATCATTTCTTAATGTACTGAATAGTCTGAAATGTCGGCAATTCTGATCCATTTTAGATTTGAATATTATTGTTAAAAAAGGTAAAAGTTTCAGGATCATATGGCCCAAAAAGATGTTCATCTTTATAAATTGAACTCTACAGTGATAATTATAAGACCACAAGGAGAGAAAGATATAGGTAAAAAAAAAATGCATATTTGTCCAAAAGGTTCGCATTTACGTATCACTTTATAAGTACTGTTGCTATGATAGGCTGTATGGAATAGCATATCATATGATAATGGCACAAACTAATTCAAGAAAAAATAAATAGATAAAAATAAACAATACTTAAACAACTATATATTAAACAGATTTTTAAAAATTAGTTAACTTGAACAAAAACATAATATCAAGCAAGTAAATACCTAATGAAAGTGAGGAACAATATTACATGATAATCTACAAATAACTTACCGTTGCCAGGGTGTGGATCAGCATGGACAAAGCCAGTGTGGAATATCTGTTCGGCAAATGCATTTATGAGCTTCTTGTCAACGTCTTCGATATTTATTCCAGCCTTCTCCATACCTGATACATCACTAACCTTGAATCCATGTATGTATTCAGTTGTTAAAACTCTCTGTAAGCAGAGATCATTCACACATTATTCATATATCCTTTGATGCATCTCTGATAATCAACTCAAAAGACTAAACTAGTATCTTTAACACTAGACTGGTACCAATGCAGAGAAAAAGCTAGAGAGTTGCAGGAAATGTAAGAATGTAAAATGATGAATGAAAGTAAAACCAAAAAGCAAGAGAGGAGAGAAAAAGGAAGAAGAAAGGAAGAGACGAATGAATTACCTTTATGCTTTTCTCCCCTCTCATTTACCTAGGCTCGCACACTAAAAGATAAAATACACAGCACACAATACACAAAATACACAGGTTGTGGTGACTGAGTGACTTAAACAACATTGCATTACTAATTATAGCACATTTCTCTGAATGCATCATATTTGCAGTTACATCCAATAATAATAATAGAACTATTTCAACTAAAATCAATTCCATAGAGCCATTAGATTATTGGGTAACTTATTAAATGAGTCGACAGTTTCATTACTGTATCCCTTAGTCAAAGATTCTGAAACTGACCGACTAGGGAAAAAACAGTGCATAACTGGCATTATACTTTAGTTATGAAAGAATTTACAGGAGGTATATATTGCTTGGTTAGGTTGGTAAACTTGCTCTTGATAAGTGCTTCTGTGATACAAATGTGTTAATGCTTTCATTTAATAACAGCATAAATCACATGGGCAACTTGCAGACACATCTTTTTAATATAAATCAATTTCCAGGCAACTTCTACACAGACATCAGAACAATTTATGTATAATAATATTTACTTCTTACAGAGATATCAGCCTGGAGTTGGATAATTATCATCCTAATTATATTTATTGAAAAATTAAAAGAATACATTTTGCCCAAAAAACAATGTGAACAGATATGAATTAATAAAAAATTCAAGTAATGTATTGGAGGTTTACATTATGATGCTAAGTGGTGTCTGTAGCTTAATTTTACTCCTAAAGCTTTGTGCAATCAAGTTCAACATGTACTGTTTTCAAACAACTTTGATCTTCAAGGAGATGAGTATCTCTTTTTTATAACAAAGAAAAAAATAATAATTTGGCCTTACAACATTCTTAGCTGAAATGAGCTTTGTGAAAGATTTAAGGCTATATTTTCTAAGAAATATCTATCAAGGTATATCATTGTTAACAACAGTATCTATAAACTGCAAAGTGACCACATATCTAATTGCATCTACCAGTTATATTGCAACCTTTGGAATGTTTCTGAGATCCAGGATTGCCAACTGAAATAATTACATTACTTAATCCTAATACCACTAATCACATATCTTGCTTATTCTCAATACAATTCCACTTCTGGTCAAAAATGAAGGCAAAATGGAAGGAGAGATGTCTTAAAGAATAACATAAATATCATAGAACATATTTCTTCTAATCAAATTTTCTTTTTTACTAAATTCATGATAACATAACTAAATTCTATTCTTTTGACATCCATTATCTAAATTAAAGACTAGTTGTGTTATTTATAAATCTAATGTAAACTGGATATATTGAAAAAAGCCTAAGTCTTTATCAGTCCCTACTCTTGACAAATAAACAAAACAAAAGGGTGAGGAAAATATCTATTCACAAGAATATGACACCATCAAAACAAAATGTTCTTAAATGATGAAAACCAAAAAAAGAAAACATTTCTATGCCTCAAAAACGACAGGAACTTTACAATAATAAAATATCTAAAAAAAAAAAAAGACAACCAGGAAAAAGGAAACATACAAATATCATCGGTAAAGAATACAAGAAGGACAAGAACAAAGTTTGTGCCTACCTTACTACAGCAATCCCAGTGGACTTTTGGAACATGAACATACTTGAATTTTGAAAGTTCTCTAGCACAGCGCTCCCCATTGTGTCCTTCGTTAATGAAGTCCAGCTCTTGCTCCAAGGTACCTTTTAGGTCCTGGTTTGAAAAAAATTAATAATTGCAAATTCTAAACATTACACAAGAATATTAAATCAATATGAAATAAGAAAGGGTAAAATGTTATCACAATGTTATCAGTGTATTATAATATTCATGAAAAAATGATTTTTAAAATGAATAGTGGTCTTACATGTCATACATGAAAACATTTTTGTTTTATAAAAAGCTCGCCCAAACTCACAGGAAAAACAAAAATCCTTTACCTTGAGAACCCATTTCAAGGCAAACTTTGGATGCATTATTTGTATGATCTCCAGGAGCAGCTCAATGGTGGTGATGTCTCCCCAGAACCGATCCTGAAGGTCAATGTATTGCACTTTGACGGCGACTTCTTCGCCACTGTGTGTCTTAGCACGGAATACCTAGGAGAGAAGGATCGTTTAGTTCTATAGTCTTGATATTGATATTGGTGTAGTCTTGATAGCAAAAGGTAACAAACTTCTCTAATTATGAGATGAGTCCATTTCTTATTAGACAATTAAAATTCAAGGATTCCTGACACCAAACCTGCATAACATGTAAGATTTTGAGGTCATGTCATCTCTCACCTGGGCTAAACTGGCTGCTGCAATGGGCTCATCATCAAACTCACTAAATATTTCTTTATGTGAACATCCAAAGTCTTCTTGAAAGAGCGTGCCAATTTCATCCCATCTGCGGTTGAGACACCTATCTTGCAGAGCCTAAGGGATACAAATGACAAAAGACTGATAAGAAATGTCTTCATTAAATCAAAATTCATTAGAAAATGTAAAGAGTATTCATGTTACACTTTTCAGTTGAAAATAATATATGCCATTAAAGATTCAATACCAATACTAGAAATCTAAAAATAAATCTAATACAAACTATCTGTAAAACCTTCATCATCTTATTGATTTATACTAATAAAGGATTCAGGTTAACTTGTAAAACATCCATTTTCTATTTAATGGAACAAAAACATTTGCTCATCAGACCTTTATAAATAACTGAATAAATTTTACACCTAAATCACTATGAAGTAATTCTCAAGTGCAGCAGATTACAAACTCACTTTTAATGTTTCCAGGTATTCTTTTGGCAGTATGTGATTCATGGAGACTAACCCCTGGCCCAGTTTTACATACAATCCACCATTCTGTAAAATATTTAAGTAATTAGTAATAATATCATTGTTTTTCTAAACCTCCTTTAGTGCATCATATTCTATACAGAGTTGCATCATGAAAGAATCTACTCCTACCTTGAGACAGCCATCGAGAATTCGTTCCGCTGATCGCTGGTGGGCTGCCGATAATGCTGCAGAATAAAGATCACTGTCTTCATCCAGGCCATAAGTTGACCATTTGTAGTCCACGGAGATCATCAGACCAATTCTCAAACTCCTGTTGCATTAAAGTTCTAAAATTATCATAGTTCTTCATGAAGTACTTGTAAAATATTGTATAATAAATTACAGAAGGATCAAAATTCTATAATCAGATGGTAATATTGAAAAATTGAAGACTGATTGATATATAAAAAAAAATAATCCATTCTGAAGGCTGTGCATGCTACAACTACTACAATTACAAAATTCACTAATAATACAACAAATCAGTTACAACAGACAAGAAAGATGTTAAATGCATATGTTAAAGGATATCACCAAATCACTACGATAATAATGATAATAATAAAAAGAAAACCAATACCACAGCTCTACCAACCTGAAGAATCTTCCTACTCCCTCAACTGTCACCCTCATCTGTCTCTTAGTCAAATCATCGGTGTATGCATAGTACACTCCTCCAGCTGCTGGCACCGCTACAACCACACCACCAATAGCCTTCCCAATTGTAGCCAAAACTCTCCGCTTCTTCTTTACCACAACGGGGGCTTCTGTTGCACATCTTCTGATAGCATTCTGGCTCGTACACCAAAGGGGGCGTACAAAGTTGCAAGCTGCACGTCGATACATTGTGACTAACACTGTTGGATATTAAGAATAAATAGTAATGCTGCACATCCAATACTGCATTTATGATGGTGTGGTATTTGAAAACACTGCCAAATCATACAATGGTGGTAGTTCTTAGCTGCATCAAGGATTTATATTCTTCTATTATTTGATCTTTCATCTTTCATTTTGTTAGTTTCTCAAATTCTTGTACTTCAAACATTACACTTTAGCTTATTAAGAAACATGAGTTCCTGTCACTAAAGTATATACTTATTATCTACAAAACCAAAATACTTTGTTAGACATCAAACATTTCTCTCTTTTAATTATAAAAAAAAAAAAAAAAAATCATAAATCAAATTTCAAGATTACATACTATTTTCTATCCCTATACAATAACATTTAGTGGGAAATTCATAAATCTTTAACCAAATCTTTGAGAATAGATTGAAAGCATCCTAATATCTTACATTATTACAGAAATTGCAATTCCATGTTGATATAATGTCAAAAAATATAACACAGAAAACATTACTTAGAATATAATCAAACTTAATAATATAATCTTTAGATTCTGGCTGTGTAAGGTTTAGCTACAGTAAGGTCTGGTAGAGTAACTGTGAGGCATATTAAGATTCGTGTAAGTGGTAGTCTGATATCTTAAATCATCAGTATTTACAACACAACTCTTTCACTTTCAATTCATGACATTTGATCCAGATTTACTATGCAAACTTGAACCAGTTCTTTTCATCTGTGCAGAAAATAATTTTCAAAAGATATAATAACTTTAACTCCCCTTTTCAATTTTAGCATTAATTAATATGCTTCTTCATGAATATGATATGAAAGAGTTGTAATTCAAATGGAAATTATGCTATATAACGACTGTAACAACTGTCTTGATGTCTCTCCCTAGCAACACATTCTTATAACCCTATCATGATGGGGACAAGAGTTTTCTGTGACGTAATAATTATGCAAAAGTTTTGCTTTTCTGGCTGGGCACGTGCTGTGTACAGCTAGCCCACC